GAAAAAAAGAAAGAACAAAAATAATATTATTATTATCATCATCATCATAATATATTATCATAATTATTATCATTTTTGTAATTACTGTTAATATTATCATTATCATCATTATCATTATTATCATAATCATTAATATCATTAATATCATTATCATTATTATCATTATGGTAATTACTATTATTATCATCATTATAATCATTATCATTATTATCATTATCATCATCATCATTACCATTATCATCATCATTATCATCATCATCATTACCATTACCATTATTATCATCATTACCATTAGCCTTGCAGAACCCTTCCCTGACCAGATCTCTCCCGTCCCCTTTCTGCAGTCCCACTGGCTATCTCTCCTTATCTCTCGTCTCCATCTATGAGCTGTCGTGGGCTTCTCCTGCATAGAAGCTTTAGAATATTCGATGTCCACAGCCCCGCGCCCATTAGGAGTCGGGTCACGCGCCCAGTAACGATGACAATATCTTCCAAATCAGAATAAATTACATAGGCATGATGACTACTGGGGCCACGGGAGCTTCGGGAGATTGGAACTCGCCTGGGGGGGGACTTTGCGGGGGCAGTCACGGGTGTCGCCTCGAAACGCTGCTTGCTTTTCTTTTTGTTTTATTTTATTTGTTTTCTTTATCATTATTATCGTTTATTTTATGTTTTTTTTTTTTTTTTTCTACATTTCTCTTTCTCTACTCTCTATATATATTTTTTTTGGGTATGTCTTTCCCTTTTTCTTTTCTTTTCTCTCTGTCTTTCTCCATTTCTTTCCTTTCTCTCTGTCTTCTCTTTTCTTTCTCTCTTTCTCTGAATCTGTCTATCTCCCTCTTTCTTATTTATTTCTTGTTTGGTTCTTCGTGTGCTTGAATCCGTGAAAAGTTTATCATTGATCGTCTCCGTTCTTCTCCCTCCTTCTCTTGCCTCCTCTCCTCCTAAATTCTTCTCTTCCTCCATTCTTCTTACTTTATCTCCCTCTCGCCTCGCCCCCCCCCCGCCCCCATAATACCCCCGCTACGCCCTCTTCGTCCGAACTATAAGCGTTTGATTGCTCTATCCGCGGCCGCCTCCCCGCCCCGCCCTCCTCGTCCCCCGCGCCCTTTGGCCTTCCACCCGCGTCGCCTCCTCGCCGTTTTTCACGCCCGCGCCCGATATATCTCGTCCCCGAAGCGCGCGCGAGGAGGGGGAGGAGGCGCTGCCGGCGGGGCGTCAGCGGCCGCAAGAAAAATGACCCGTTAATGGTCCTCCGCGGCGACGTTAATTCGGGCCTTATCAGCGCGGCGGCGATATCGACGGCGCGAGGGACTTGCCTTTGTCCGGCAGCTCGCCAAGGCCCTTTTTGCGGCCGCCATTGCCTCGGCGCCCTCTTTATGTGCGCCCTTCCTCGCGGGGGAGCGCGGGCGTGCTTCGGGGCCTCCGAGCCTGCGTTCCCGCCGCGGCGCTGACGTCAGGACGCCCGGGCGCGCCGCCTCCCCGCCTCGCCCTGGGCTGGCGCGTCCGAGGGCGAGCGCAGTAAGGGAGGCTTTCAGAAGCTCCTCGGCGGTTTTTTGCGCGGATGGCGACAATAGGCCCGTCCAACAGCGCCGAAAGTCTCCCGCGGCCGCGCCAGGAAGCCTCCGTTCGAGCGGCCTTATTCGCACAACGCGTCTGGTTCGGACGCTCGCTTTATCGAGCCTTTGCCGGATGTTATAATTCAAGATTTACCCGTCGGTTTTTTTGCGCTCGGATCGATGGCCGTGATTGGCACTTTCGGGCCTTAAATTTCATGATTATCTCATCGAGCCTCGTAATGACTCGCCTGCGCCGCGGGTTCGTCGGGCAGTTCACACCTCCCTCGTGTCAGCTGACGAAGGGCGCGCTGGGGCAGGTGCGCGCGCCGTGTCTGCCCCTCGAGGCCGTCTGGAGGTTTTCGTATGCGGGGTTTATATATATATATATATATATATATATATATATATATATATATATATATATATATATATATATATATATATTATATATATATATATGTACACATGTTTGTGTTTATATGAAAGTGGCTAAACACTACATAAGTGTCGGTAGGAATGTGTAAACACACACACACGCACACGCACTCATATACTAGACCGCGCAGACGCGCAAGCACCCCGCGGCTGCTCCGCCCCCAAGGCCAGCAGACTCCCCCCCCCCCCCAGGACCGCCGCCGAGCGAGTTCACAGAAGCTGCCACATTCCGGGGTTCGAAGCAGCTGTCGAGGCTTCCCCTTGTCGAATCCCATCAATCTTGTGCTGGAGATAAGCCGCGATAAGGACTCCGCGTTTTCCCACAGATTCTGTTCTTACATATCATTATCATATCGGCGCTGGATGCAATTCCGATCATAGTGGGCAGGATGCTCCGCGACCCAATCGTTCTCGCTTCGACTCGCTTCGACTCGCTTCGGATTCGCTTCGCCGGCTCTCGCTCGCCAGTCGGTCGTTTGTTTGTTTGTTTGCGACGAGACGAGGGTGACATGGTGACTTCGTGAGGGGAAACTGAGGCATTTTAGGCTTGTTTTGTCTCTTGTGGGAGATGGATGATGACAACAAGGTGGTTATTCATTTCTCTCTCTCTCTGTCTGTCTGTCTGTCTATCTGTGTCTGTCTGTCTGTCTGTCTCTCTCTCTCTCTCTCTCTCTCTCTCTCTCTCTCTCTCTCTCTCTCTCTCTCTCTCTCTCTCTCTCTCTCTCTCTCTCTCTCTCTCTCTCTCTCTCTCTCTCTCTCTCTCTCTCTCTCTCTCTCTCTCTCTCTCTCCCTTAAGTACATAGTATTTTTTCTTATTCTATGTACGTATGAAATTAGAAAAAAACATAGATTGTTTGTCTTTTAACAAGGGAATGGATGGGAAAGGGATAATGATAAATGGTAATTGTTAGTGTTTGAAGATAATTGAGATGCTTAAGCTACGTAGCATTTTCTTTTCGCTTTATTTCATATGGATGTAGAGATCTCTATCTCTCACCCGAAGAGGAAACATATCTTAAACCCCCATAATTTTTTTTTTTTTTTAGCTCACAGACGTTACACAAAGGGAGGTATCATTATCTCTCAAAGATGAAATATTCCGCTATTTCCTACCCCCAGCAAAAAAAGAAAAGAGAGAGAGAGAGAGAGAGAGAGAGAGAGAGAGAGAGAGAGAGAGAGAGAGAGAGAGAGAGAAGAGGAGAGAGAGAGAGAGAGAGAGAAGAGAGAGAGAGAGAGAGAGAGAGAGAGAGAGAGAGAGAGAGAGAAAGAAAGAAGAGAGAAAAGAGAGAGATAGAGAGAGAAAGAAGAGAGAAAGAGAGAGAGAGAGAAAGACAAGAGAAGAGACACAGAGAGAGAGAATGAGAGAGAGACAGAAAGAGAGAAGAAGAAAAAAGAAAAGAAAAAGACAATAGAAAAGATTAAAGGGTAATTACACTAGTCCCCACCATTATAATCACGAAGCTTAAGTATACAGCTCTGTCAACCATAACCTCTATTTAACGGCTTCTCCCCCCCAACTATAATCCCGCAACAGCCTGCAACATCCCTGCAAGAATGCAACCGGGAGTAATATCAGGGTATCAATAATCAATGACTCCTGATGACTCCTGATCATTTATTCCGAAACGTGACGCGTAAGAGAGTCTCGGTCGCTGTAAGGGTCGGATCGTCTTCGGTTCAGGAATTTTGATAGGTCAGTAAGGAGGGAACCGAGGTGGTGGCCGCGGAGAGAGGAGGAGGAGGAGGAGGAGGAGGCCAGCGGAGGGAGGAGGAGGAGTGAGGAGGAGGAAGGAGGAAGGGGAAGGAGGGTGGAAGAGGGAGGAGGAGGAGGAGGGGAAGAAGAAGGAGGAGGAGGGGGAAGAAGATAGGAGGAGGAGGAGGGGAAGGGGGGAGAAGGAGGAGGGAGAGTAAAAGAGGAATTAGGAGAGTAAGGAAGAACGGAAAAAGGAAGGGAGAGGAGGATAGAAAGATGATGATGATGAGGAGAATCAAAATAAGGAAAAGGTAAGATAAGGAGGAGAAGGATAGTCAAAGAAGGGAAGAAGTGGGGATATGGATGAGGAGGAGAAAGTAGGAGATGATAATAAGGTACAGAAGATGAGACAAGATATGAAACAAAGCAAGGGGAAAAAAACAAGTATAAAGAGAAGGACGGGAAAGATGAGGGGAATAAGACAGAGGAGGAGACCACCAAAGAAGCAAGAGAAGAATAAGGGGGAGGCAAAATAGAACTATCAATCGGTGATAAAAATGAACAACCAAAAGTAAAAAATAATAATAATAAACAAATAAAAAATCAATAAAAAATATATATATATCAAAGAAAAAGCAAATAATAATAAAAATAAAAAACAAAGAAGAGGCAACAGAAGGAGTAGAAACAAAACAAAAAAGGAACACGATAAATAAGAGAAAGAAGAATGAGAAAGAGGAGAAAAAAGAAACAACAACACCCCCAAGAACGTAAGGAGTATACCAGGCAAAGGGTTAAGGAGAGTTCCCAAGCGGCTTACACTCCTCAATTCGATTCTGGAATGTATGTGTTTTTTACCTTATGATCATTCCGTGTCATCCTTAGCATGCATTCCTTGATTTACGGCTTTAAAAGGGCCCTTACCTCGCCCTGAGCGCCGTCTGCTGCAGCGGCTGAATAGATAATCATTTCTGCGCTTGGGATTCGAACCAGATTGGCGGGGTGGTCTTTATGTATTTGTGTGTGGGTGTATTTGTATATGTGTATGTATTTGTGTAAATATGTGTTTCTGTGTGTGTGTGTGTGCGTGTGTGTGTGTCTGTGTGTGTGTGTTGTGTGCGTGTGTGGTGCGTGTATATGTGTGTATCTGTGTGTGTGTATACATACATACATATATGTATGTATGTATGTATACGTGTGTCTGTATGTACACACCCGACATAAACATACGGAAACACACTCCAATGCCATGACCTTCCCTCACTCGATCTCCTTCCACTCAATAACGCCCGCATTTCTCCCGCCCACAGCCTGCAGAGAGACGGCCTTCCTGTACGCCCTCACCTCCGCCGCCGTCACACACACCGTGACGCGGGCGTGCACGGAAGGATCCATCGACTCCTGCAATTGCGACTACAGGACGGAGGGACCTTCAGGTGAGGATCCGTCTTCAGGATTTGAAGGATTGCAATTAGTCAGGATTTAGGATTTAGGATTTGAAGGATTTAATTAGGATTTCAATTAGTGAGGGTTTAGGATTTTAGGATTTTTAATTAGTCAAGCTTTAGGATTTCAGTATTGTGAATTATAATTAGCCAGGATTTCAAGATTTGAAGGATTTCAGTTAGTCGGATTTAGGATTTCGGATTTAATTAGTCAAGATTTAGGATTTCAGTATTTGAAGGAATTTTATGGTCAGGGATTTTAGGATTTTAGGATTTGAAGGATATTAGTTATTCAGGATTTAAGATTTCAGGACTTCAATCAGTCAGGATTTAGGATTTCAGGATTTTAATTAGTCAGGATTTAGAATTTCAGGATTTCAATTAGTCAGCATTTAGGATTTCAGGATTTGAAGGATTTCAATTCGTCAGGATTTAGGATTTCAGGATTTGAAGGATTTCATGTAGTTTCAGTATTTGGTATTTAGTATCTCAACGTTTAAGTATTCAGCATTTAGTATTTACAAAAGAGCATAGGAATTTTAGACGTCACTCAAAAGAAAAAAAAAAAAAAAAAAAAAAAAAAAAAAAAAAACAATGCATGATGAAAAAAAGAAGATGCTTGATCTCTTCAAATGGTAATAATGATAAAAGAAATAAATACGAATGATGATAAATGATAAAAAAGAAATTAGATATGATTATAATGATAAGAACATTACGGTGAATAAAGACAAAATCACAAGCTCAAAATTTCTTCTTTTTATTATTATTATTATCACTGTTATCATCATCATCATCACTATTACTATTATCATTATTTTTGTAATAATCTATTATTATCATTATTATCCTTATCATCCTTCTTCTTAATAGTATTGTATTATTATCATCACTATTACTATTATCATTATTATTTTAATACTTTATTATCATTATTATTATCCTTATTATTCCTCTTATTATTAGTATCAAAATTGTTTTATTATCATTACTATCATCATTATCATTAGTAATAGTAGTAGTATATTATCATAATCATCCATTCCTTAATAACTAGAACACTAATGCAAAATTCTCCCCTCCCCCCCCGCCCCCCACAGGACTCGACTGGGAGTGGGGGGGCTGCTCCGACAACATCGACTTCGGCGACAACTTCTCCAGGCTGTTCGTGGACGCCGGCGAGAAGGGGCGTGACCCGAGGTTCCCCATGAATCTGCACAACAACGAAGTGGGGAGACTGGTGAGTGGCCGGTGAGACTGGGAGTGGCCGGGGTGGTGTGGTGGTGGTGGTGGTGGGGTGGTGGTGGGTGGGGGGTGGTGGGGTGGGTTGGTTGGGGGAGGGGGTGGGGATGGGGTGGTGGTGGGGGTGGGAGGTGGTGGATGGTGGGGGGAGGTGGGGGTGGGGAGGTTGGGTGGTGGAGATGTGGGGTGTGTTGTTACTGGTGTTGGAGGTGGTGGAAGTGGTGGTGGTGGTAGTGGTTTGTTATGGTTGTTACTGTTACTATTAAAATTACTGCTGATATTATTGTTATTCTTATTTCTAGTATAACAGGTATTACCATAATCATTATTGTTATCACTGTCATTATGGTTATTACATTTATTGTCGTAATGATTATCATATCTATCAGTATTATTATTACCATTAGTGTTATCATTAATATCATTATTATTATTATCATCATCATCGGCAGTATAGCAGTAGTAGAAGTGGGTCATCAGTATTATCATCATTATTTCATCGTTATTACTGGTACTACTACAACTGCTACTACTATACTACTACTGCCGCTGTTGGTATGTTGATGTCATTACTGTTATCCACATCATCTTAATTCTATCACCTTTATCTTTTTATTTCTCTGTTAATCATTTATTTGTTCTTATTTGTTAACTGCGCGTCTTCTCTCTGATGCAAAGATCTTCTCCATTGCATTCTCTTTGTCTTTTTCTGTTTGCATAATGCTGTTTTGATCGTGTTTATTTATGTATGGATATCCTCTTTTTCCTTTCCCTTTTCTTCTATCATTATATCGTTTGTTTGTTTGTTTGTCTATCTATTGGTCTGTCTGTCTCTCTTCTCTCTCTGTCTGTTTATATCTGTCTGTGTATCTATTTGTCTGTCTGTCTGTCTCTCATTCTCTCTCTCTCTCCTTTTCTCTTACTATTTTTTTTCTCAGCATGATAAAACCAAAAATGAAAAAGAATAAAAAGACCAAAATAATAATACCATTTCAAAAAATCCCATAAAATACCTCCGGGGATTTTGTAGAGGGAGTGACCGTGAATTTCAGCATCTTTAAAGATCATATCAGAAAATAATGATTGATAAACCATGAAATAGGGAAATTGCAGAGACCGCTACCTCGGGTAAATGACCTTATGGCGTTTTTGCTTTTGGGCGCTAAGGTCAAAGTTTTTGAGGTGTGGTGAAAGAAAAAAGAGAAAGAAAAAGAAAAAAAGAAGAAAAAGAGGGAGAAGAAAATGAGAAAATAGAGATGAGGGAAGGATTAAAATGGGTGTGAGGGAAAGGTGAAAGATGGGGTATAAAGAGCAGTTGAAAATGTGTATCTTCATATGTAAGATTAAGAGAGAGAGAGAGAGAGAGAGAGAGAGAGAGAGAGAGAGAGAGAGAGAGAGAGAGAGAGAGAGAGAGAGGAGAGAGAGAGAGGAGAGAGAGAGAGAGAGAGGAGAGAGAGGAGAGAGAAGAGAGAAAGAGAGAGGAGAGAAGAGAGAGAGAGAGAGAGAGAGAGAGAGAGAGAGAGAGAGAGAGAGAGAGAGAGAGAGAGAGAGAGAGAGAGAGACGAGAGAGAGAGAGAGAAAAGAGAGAGGAGAGAGAGAGAGAGAGATGAGAGAGAGAAATAAATAGATAGATAGAGATAGAGAGAGAGAGAGAAAAAGAAGATAGGATAGATAGAGACTGAGACAGAAACAGACAGATGGAGACGGAGAGAGGCAGACAAAAACAAACGCACCTCTCCTATCCCTCTCTCCCTCTCGTGGTAGGAGAGACTGTCTCAACTTTTCCCCGGTTAGCTCTCAACTGAGGAGAATTAGCAAGTACTCAGTCCACTACTTCAAAAATACGTCTTTTTCCCCTTTTCCCTTCGCTTAGAGTATTCTTTAGAAAAAGAATAAAAACCTGCCATCGCACACTAGAAAGGATTATGATAATGATAATAATATATATAATATAATAATATAATAATAATAATATTAATATAATAATAATAAAAAGTAAGAATAATAACAATAATAATGATAATAATTATGATGATAATAATAATAGAAATAATGATAATAACAATGATGATGATAATAATAATAATAATGATAACGACGAAAATAATATAATTCACAATAATATCAAAGATGATTATAATGAATCAACAAATGTTTGAATGATATCTCGGTCTCTTTGAGCATTAAGCATTTTGAGTATTAAGCATCGCTTGAAAGGCATTAGATTAGGTCTTAGCGATGTCTCTGTTATTGGTGCAGTTGCCTAATATGGTGTTGATCATGTGACTTTTTTTTTTTTTTTTTTTTTTTTTTTAGTATCTTTGTAATGCTCATGGTGATTGTGTTATTAGAGAAACTGATTAGAGTTTACTTATCGTTATTATTATCCTTGCTATCATTATTGTCATTATTGACGTTTTATTACTACTTTCACTACTATTACTCATGCTGATGTTACTTATACTATCATAAGTATGAGTATTACTATTACTATGATTTATCAATTATTATAATCATTATTAACAATATCATCATTGCTACTGTCATTATCCTTATTAGAATGATAATTAACATCGTTAAGACATTATCATCACTTCATTATCATTATTATCATATTATTTATGTTTTATTCTTGTTTTATGGTCGTCATTAGGATTACATCTTTACAATAAACAGCTTAGCATTAATATTTCTAATTATCTCTGTTATCAATGTTATAATCTTTATCTTATTACGCATGTTTTAAACTTACCAATGCCTTCGATTTTGTTATTCAAACTCGTATTTTTTTTACGTCGACAAAACCTACTTTCACGACACAAAAGAGCCATCCATCTCAAACCGACCCGCGTCAAGTGCTTAATGACCCCCTCACTAAGTGGCTTTAATTACCCTTGACCACCCTTCTTTCAAGTTCCAATTAAAACAGACGCCAAAGAGGAGAGAGAGAGAGAGAGAGAGAGAGAGAGAGAGAGAGAGAGAGAGAGAGAGAGAGAAGAGAGAGAGGGGAGGAGGGAGGAGGGAGGGAGGGACGGGAGGAAGAGAGAGGGAGAGAGAGAGAAGAGAGAGAGAGAGAGAGAAGGAGAGGGAGAGGGAGAGGAGAGGAGAGGGAGAGAGAGCGGAGAGGACTGAGAGAGGGGGGAGGGAGGAGGGAGAGAGGAGAGAGAGAGAGAAGGAGGAAGGGAAGAGAAGAGAGGAGAGAGAGAGAGAGAGAGAGAGAGGGAGAGAGAGAGAGGAGATGAGGGAGAGAGAGAGAGAGAGAGAGAGAGAGAGAGAGAGAGAAAGGGTGGGAGTGGTGGAGAGAGAAGAGAGAAGGACGAGTGAAGAGCGAGAGAGAGAGAGAGAGTGAGGAGAGGAGAAGAGAGAGAGAAGAGAGAGAGAGAGGAGAGAGCAGAGAGAGATCCATTCCAATTCCTTTCCCCGAAACCCCCAAACTAAAAGCACAAAAGGAGATTGGACATCTTCGGCAGGTAACATAATTAGTCCTCGACCCACCACGGAACCTACCATAAAACAGGGGGTCCCTCAACCACAACTATTACTACTACTACTAACTAACACCATAGTTGGGTCCCTTCGCTGACCGTCAACGACCATCAACGCTACATGTTTATTACACGTTGTTTACCCCCCCTGGAATTGATGCTTCGGTTGTGAGAAATTGATTATATTTATGGGGGGGGGGGGGGGGGGGGAGGGAAAGAACTGCTGTGTAAAAAGGATTCAGTGATGATGGGTTTTTATCGGTCTTTTTTGACGACTGAAGCTGTATCGCTATTATGAAGCCTGACTATGACCCAAAATTTTAATCTTAGTTCATTTTATGGGAGGGTCTATGATTTGTATTGAATAGATTTCAAACGATCGATAACTATCATTGATTCCCTCACGACTACACGCATACATAAAAAAAAAGAAAAACAAACAGCCTACGAGATATTTGTAAATAAACAAATTGTCCCTTGTAAATAGAGAAGAAAAAACGCAGATACCTTTTTGATACTAATCATTCAAAGTGTTTATACCCGCGTTTACCACAGCCACAAGCGCCGTCACAGCCGCGTCACGCCACTCAGAGCCTCGAGCGAATTCTCTTAACACTCGTCGGATATCGCGGCCCCGCTTACCAGAACGAATTCTTGACCAAAATGCTACCGGCGCCGAGATGCTCTGATGAGATACATAGCGGTGTCGAGGTTAGCTCGATTCTTAATCCCCTCTCTCTCTCTCTCTCTTTCTCTTCTTTTCTCTTTCTGATTCTTTCTCTTACTCTCTCTTGTTCTCTCTCTCTCTCTTCTCCTTGTTCTCTTCTCTCCCTCCCACCTCACTCATTCTTCTCTCTCTTTACCTATCTCTCACCAATGTTGGATATATTTCTTTCTCCTTTATATCCCGTCTTGAAAACAATCATAAATATACCGACTCTGTTGAGATCAACAGATGTTTTCCCAATGTATTTTCTCTCTCGGGAATTAACCGTACACGCCTTGTGGTAAGACGGACAGACGCACAACGCTGGAGAGGCCAAAAGCGGTGTGAGAGGGCGACCAGTACATCCCAGCTGTCAACTCTCTATACCACTGGCATTCGTGAGCTCCTTTTAATAGAGCTCCTTCCATTTATAGAGAGCTCTAATCCATACATCCATGATCTCGTTAATATAGAGCCCCTTTCATTAATAGAGAGCTCTAATCCATATATCCATGAACTCTTGTTAATATAGAGCCCCTTTCATTAATGGAGAGCTCTAATTCGTACATCCATGAACAGACAGAGCTCCTTTTAATACAGAGCCCCTTTTATTAATAGAGAGTTCTGTTTAACATATTCACGGCATCCTTTTAATATAGAGGTCCTTCTACTATAAAGCAACTTTTAATACATCCATGAGCTTCTTTTAAATACAGCTCCCTTTTTTTTTAATTCAAGGTCCTATTAAAACAGAGCTCCCTTTTTTAAAGTACAGAGCTCTTTTTCATACAGATTGCAATGCGTTAC